ATCATCATGAAAGGTGCTGACTTGGACACATTTGAATATTTCCAATTTAGGTCTTATCTCTTTCATATCAAAGTCCTAACTTAAAGAAATAAAATCTCAGTTATAAGACCAACCTGGAGGCTTTTGAAGTAACAAAGAATTGATGGTAGGTAGGACTATGTATGGGRCAGTAAGAATGGAGCACACAGGACAGATTTGGGGATATTTGTGGGGGTCAGACTTGATATGATAGAGAAGAAGCAGACAAGGGTGACTGTAAAGTCTCCATCTTGGGCAGCTGAGTGAATTGGGATATTATTTATTCAGAATGGATAGTTGAATACACAAGTATGAAATTTAAGAGGAGACCTGGGTTATAGATGCAGATTTGAGAATTAAATTTATTGATGGTTATAGAGATTGCAATACTGCTGGAGCCAAAGGAGAGGATATATAAGTCAGAATTTGGGGGAGGCCACAGAAGGTGAGATTTACAGAAAAGAGGACCAGAGAGGAAGCAGTGATGCAGAGGTGAAACTTAGGAAATCTGATGTGGGTCTCCTGAGTCTTTGAATATTTATCTGCGCATTCATATCTATGCATTCTGTGGGAAGTTTGGAAAACAACAACTGTCAGGAAAAGAACAATTTGGGGGAGAGCTGTGAGTCATACATTCAAAAAGCTCATTCAGGGCTACAGGTTGTCTGAGTTCCCATGAACCAAGAGTGGAAAGAACTTGCTAACTACATGGGGAAGTGCAATAGAAACCCAGAAGAAACATGTCTTAGAAATGCCCTAAATAGAGCGAGGCATTGGGCTTGATCTTCAGCACCACATTAAATAAATATATAAATAAAGGTACTGTGTCCATCTACAACTAAAAAAAATACTAAAGAAAGAAATGGCATAAACAGCCCTAGAAGAGAGGCTACTCTCAGAATCATCTTTATGAAATTTAAAAACAGGGGCTGGGATTGTGGCTCAGCGGTAGWGCRCTTGCCTAGCACATGCGAGGCCCTGGGTWCAATCCTCAGCACCACATAAAAATGAAATAAAGATATTGTGTTCAACTACAACTAAAAAATAATAAATATTAAAAAAATTTAATAACAACTCACAAAATAAACTAAATCTTGAGTAACCTGTCAGAATTACATGTGTCATTCTTTCGAGCAATAAAACAAAATTAAAAATGTAGAATTTACCATATCTGGCATACAATTAAAAAATCTCTATAAAAAAGGAAAAAAAAAACCAGGAAATGAAAATCTTAACCGACAAGATAATAAGTCAAGAGCTGGAAGTAAAAATTCAGTGGACAAAATGAGCAGCAGAATAAATATTAGAAAAGAGAAGATCAGTAAACTTGAAAAAATATTAGTAGATCCTTTCTAAAAGGAAATATAGAGTGGAGAAGAAAAATACTGGAGAAATAAATAAAGCCTCTGTGACTTTTAGAACCACATTAAGTAGTTTAAAACCAATGAAGTAGTGGTATGAGCATTGCCTTCAAAATGTTTTTGCTTGTGGAAAGAGAACTATACAATTGAAGACAAAGAAATATCAAAGAAATTACTAGAATAGTTTTGTCACCTGATTCCTTTGCTCAAGAAGGGAATGTATTATTTTTGTTTATTCTAGAATGTAGCACAAGGCTTGGTTATTCAGTGGCCCCTAGATAAATATCTTCTAAGTAATGAATAAAATGAACGTTGTGCATTCAAACCTTTAAAATCTTCTATTATTTTTCTTTCCATTTTTATTTTCCTTAGGCAGTTAATAAATAATTGACAAATTAGGAGGCAATGAAATAGCAATTGGTGGGCTGGAGATGTGGCTCAGCGGTAGCGCGCTCGCSTGGCATGCGTGCGGCCCGGGTTCGATCCTCAGCACCACATACCAACAAAGATGTTGTGTCCGCCGAGAACTAAAAAATAAATATTAAAATTTCTCTCTCTCTGTCTCTCCTCTCTCACTCTCTCTTTAAAAAAAAAAAAAAGAAATAGCAATTGGTGTTGGAACTAGAATTTGGGTCAAATCCCAGAACTACCCGATACTAGACTGATCTAACTGTGTTCCACAAAAGTTCTTCTTCCATGTGTTCCCTGTTCTCCTCTTGGGGATTCAAAGATCTCAGGGAACTTGATCTTTCTTCAGATGGCAGTTTTATCTCTAAAGAAGATGTTTTTTAAATTAATATACGTGCAAAAATAAAACAGATTTTACTCAAAAGGAATTTTTGAGTCTGATGGAGGAACCAACTATGGCCATAAATATAAGACATGTCAAAAAACTTAAAACTGAAGTATAGCCAAGTTCTAGGAAAGAACTAGGAAATAACTATTTTTAAGGGGTGCGTCGGGACAGAGAGTTTTCATAAAGAAAATGCCTTTTGAATTGGGTACTGAAGGATCAACGGAATTTCAGTGAAAGGTGAAGAGCAGACCAGGCTCTAGGAATACTTTAATGAAAGGTAGTGTTTGGAACTTATTGAAGAGTACAACACATTAGACGTATATTAATTTAGCAAGTCACAGTTTGCTCTTGTGTTTAGAAGCTTACTTGTAGTTGAATAGGAAAAGAAACAATTATATAAGAATATACAAAATCAGTGGGCTTCATAAAAAGGAGAAATTAATTACATCCAATTTTGATGCAATATTTCTGAGTCTGATGGAATRTTTTCCCCTCAGATTCCGGTTAGCAAGTGTTCAGAATCATCCCCTTCAAAACCGGATCAATAGAGGTCAGCAGGAAAAAGGGGGAGTCTGTCTGTCTAGATCCAATTTCAAATTACTTGGCTTCTACGTGCTTCAGTTAACTTTTAAATAAGGCTAATAGTTCTCTCAAAGAATTAAGAATTTTCGCTGATTGAAGAATGCATGACAAGCTTAGTACTTTGTATTAACGTCTTAAATTTAATACAGAAGTAGATATGTGTAAGTTTTCACCAGACAGCACCCTCCTGCAGTCAGTCCGCGATAGGCCACACCTTTCTAATCGAGCCGGCCCATTCCCTGGCTCTTGGGGAAGTAGCTGTTCAAAACTTTGTCCAGCTTCAGCAAAAGCACATGGTCTCCGTCTCCAAGGCAACAGTAAAAATGCTTCTGAGCCCTGGCGCAGGCACCACTAGCAGTGAGGACTGGTTTTTTAAAATTCATCCAAAAGAGCCAATCAGAGGCGGCAGGCCGAATGAACGGAAACTGATTGGTGCACATCTCATTACAGTGACCAATAGAATTGAAGGGGAGTTTGGTCGGGACCGGAAGTGGGAGAGTGGATCGCGGGCAGTTTGAATTGGGATCAGGGCTTCAGCCTCGCGGGGGCTGCATCGGAACTGGACACTCTGAGAGATTGTTTTCTCTCCTTCCAACAACCTTAGAAACAACCTTAGAGCAAGGTAGCAAGGTGAGCGTACTGCCTGCGTCCCGGCTCTGGTGGCCGGCCCAGTGACCGCTAGTTGCTGCCCGCGGATGCTGGTCAGGGCTGCCTCTGACTGGGCAGGGCTGCCTCTGACTCGCGCTCGCGTCCCTGTGGTGCTGGTGGCCGGTCCCACTCCTAACCGCGCTGGAGTGTGGGGTGAGGTTCGTGGGGTGGRCCCACCTCGGCTCGGGCTGAAACGGCTCCTACTAGGTAGCGGAGAAGCTGTTCCGTCACGGACTAGCACTTTGGGGGAATCGGTTTCCTCCTCCTTAAGGTAACAGAACTGGAGATGACCAGGTATTTTCAAGCAGCTCTCCGGGAACCATGGCTTCTATTTAGAAATAGGAACCTAGTCCTTTGTTGTTTTGGTCTGGGCGGCGGRGTTTGTGCCTATTGTTGTTTAGAAGATGGTTGCTCTTCCCTCTTCTCACTTTTCCTCTCTTCCACATTTATTGGGAAGGATCTGTGTGTCAGGCTCTGCTATGTGATGACCCAGAAATGAATTACACGAATACTGTCCTTGAGGACCCTGTCCGGAGGAGGCAGAATACTTAACCAGCCCCGGGACGGGACCATAGGCGGGGACTCCAGGTTTTTAGTGAAGGGGAATTTTGATAAAGGGAAAGGTGAATGCGGGCCTGAAAAGCTGGGGATGGGTGGGTCACAGAAAAGAATTGCCTTGGGGATTTTACAAGGGTTAGGTGATTGAGGCCTGAAGAGTGCCCTGTACATACTTAATATAATTAAGACAAAGCATTTTTCTGGAAAGGATGTTAGTCCTGAAAATCCTCCTTGCTGGAACCTTCACATACAGAATTTTCTTCTACCTTCTTCCTTCTCCCACCCAAACCATGCTCCTCAAATTTTATTTTTCAGGTTTACTTTTTTGTTCTTTTGTCCCAGTGGGTCAGTACAGATGGCTGAGAGCTGATGCCTTAATTTGTCAAAATGTGTGTTAATTATATATGTAGCATATATTAAGTATATTTATAAATATAAATATATTTAGATAGATATATTTACATAGCTGTGTGTTAGACTTTGGAGTGGAAAAACATTTAACTTACCAGTTTTCCTTGTTTAAATTCCCTCTATCGTCTAAGTTGCTCTTTTTTATCTCGGAAAGTTTTCCCAGAAGATGAGGGATGAGGTGTGAGTGGTAATTATTGATGTGAAGAGGGAAAGAAGAGAATTTGCAAATTAATTTTGTACTTTATTTGTTTATAGGTAGGGCATATTTCACCTGAAAACAACCTTAGAGCAAAATATTCATGTTTTGTGTAATGAAAGCAAACTAAGCAGTAGAAAGCAGGTAGCCATATAAGAAGTTAAAACTGAGACAGAAGAAAAACAAAAAGCAAGGGGAAACCCAACAAATGTATTATCTACTTCATAATCAGAATTATTGGTAGTCACCTTTCAGAGGATRGAGAAAATAAATACACTGCATTATCTTTTGAAAGTTGTCATTTTTTGAAACTTGATTCTTTGAGGTAGTCTCTGACTTTAAGTTTCCTTTTACTGCAGTAAGACCAACAGTCTAGTTTTTCTTTTCAGTTTTCTTATAAATGTTGGAATAATAAAGMAAGGAGAACAGAATGAGCTGGGCTTTGGAAGAATGGAAGGAAGGCCTCCCTACAAGAGCTCTACAGAAAATTCAAGAGCTTGAAGGACAGCTAGACAAACTGAAGAAAGAAAAGCAGCAAAGACAGTTTCAACTTGATACTCTAGAGGCTGCACTGCAAAAACAGAAACAGAAGGTATCACAGACATTTCACAGTATTCATTTGTTTTTTGGATTAATTATTTCACCTTTAAATTTAGAGAGAGGGCTGGGGTTGTGGCTCAGCAGGAGAGTGCTTGCCCAGACTGAGTTCGATTCTCAGCACTACATATAAATAAATGAATAAAATAAAAGTCCATCAATGTCTAAAAAATACTTTTTAAAAAATTTGATTTAATTAGTTACAAATGACAGGACAATGATCTTGACATATCATATATTTGAATCAGATGGGATATAATTACTCATTTTTCTGAGTGTACAGGTTGCAGAATCACATTGGTCATGCATCAATGCATCAATGTCTAAAAAATACTTTAAAAAAATTAGAAGTGATTTTGTGTAATCCCCTTCCTTCTCTTCAGACTTTTTTTTTTAAATTTGTTTTAATTTTTTATTCTAATTTGTTATATATGACAGCAGAATGTATTACAACTCATAATATACTTATAGAACACAATTTTTCATATCTCTGGTTGTATACAAAGTATATTCATATTGTTTGTATCTTCATACATGTTCTTAGGGTAATGATGTCCATCTCATTCCACTGTCTTTCCTACCCCCTTGCGCCCTCCCTTTCCCTCCCATCCCTTTGCCCTGTCTAGAGTTTGTCTAATCTTCCCATGCTCCCCCTCCCAACCCCACTATGTCTTCAGACATTTTTAATTGCCTCAAATTTTCTTGATCTTTTTCCCCTTTTTGGCCTATTTACTGATATTTAGGGCTATTGAGTTCCTTTTAAACATCTGTTTGGGAACCTGAATTGGAAATTGCAGTTGCATTTCACAGCAAAGGCCAAAGTTTCTGGCTTCAAATCGGGTTGTCATTACAGTCTTTTTATAGAAAATGGAGACCACTTTCTGACATGCGCTTTTTGTCTTGGTATTCCCCAATTTCTCTTCGGGGCTAGTAAATGAAAACTTAAATAGTACTTCTTTCTACCTCTGTATTAACCAACAAAGTAGTGGTATGATCATTGCTTCTMAAAAATTTTTTTTTTTTTTGCTTGTGGGAGAATTTTCTGATTTCTTGCAATAACTGACTTTAGCCAGACTTGAAAATGAATTGCTGAGGGAGAGGTATAGTGTTCATTTGTAATTTTTTTATTCTTAAAACGATGATAAAGCTTGACTTGCTAGGATGAGTAGAGGTAGCCCTGACCAAAAGATAGTGTAAAATGTGATTTTGTAGAACTTTTCTGTTTATAGGCTTCAGAATGTGGTGACCTAAAATTTCTGTGTTCAGAAACATTGATGTCTTGCTTATTACAACTGTACCTCAGAGGATTGTTAAATCCACAAGTACACTTGGTAAATTCGCAAAATAAGGGACCTGTTTCCTTCCCAATGATTCTTATTAGGTTGAAAATGAAAAAACCGAGGGTACAAACCTGAAAAGGGAGAATCAAAGATTGATGGAAATATGTGAAAATTTGGAGAAAACTAAGCAAAAGATTTCTCATGAACTTCAAGTCAAGGAGTCACAAGTGAATTTCCAAGAAGGACAATTGAGTGCAGGCAAAAAACAAATAGAAAAACTGGAACAGGAACTTAAAAGGTAATTTATTTGAATGGGATTTATATGAAAATTATTTCTATGTCATCAGATACATTTATTATTTTCTTTAATGATATAGTTGATATATTTTGAAATATATTTTTCCTCTGGTGGAGTAAGCAGTGATTCAGTTCAGTTATGACATGGCTCAATACAAATTCATCAAATGGTTGCTTATTTATTCATTTAACTTTATTAGGCTGGTCCATGCGATAGATGCTATATTGGTYACTGGGATGATACAATAATGGATAATAGCTCATTTGTTAATAATGGTCACTAATAGATGGAAGGAAGTGAAAGCATGGCTTATCCTGATGGCTCATGTTTTCTCTGGCTGGAAAAGCTATTATAGAGAATGAAGGGGAGAACTAAAACTAGGGAATTGTGAAAGGATTGAGGAGCAAAAAAGGCCCAGTTGAAGTTGCAGATTAGAAATTTGTAGAAGAACCAATATGGAGGAGTGTGTAGGGTGGGGTGAGGTGAGGGTTTCTTATAGCATCTGGGATCTGAGGTGCTGAGAAACTGAATRGGCAGATTGGTTTAAGTTTGCTTGGGGCAGGATAATGGGGTTGAATAAAATGGAATAATTGAGGGTAAAGCAAAACTAAGCAAAAGAATTCTCATGAGCTTTAAGTCAAGGAGTCACAGAGAATGGTTTAAGTAATATACCATAGGTTCTAAGCTGGACGGAGTAAGTAAAGTCCTGAAGAGGTTCCTACTGAGATTCTTCTCTGAGAGTTCCATCTTTCATTTTAAGCATTGTACAATCAGTTTGCCAGTTTAAGCAATAAAAAAGTTGTTTAGTGCCACTTTCATTAAAAAAATCCCCCAATTGGARGTGTTGATACAAATAAATTCAATGGAGTGTAATCATTGCTAGCTTAGAAAGGGTATACTCTTGTTCTAATGATAGAATTTTGTCAAAATAATAAGGGGTGATGCCGCAGTCTGGCTGGGCACAAAATAACCGAGCCGCCACAAGGCACTTAGGCACTTGTACGTTCAAACAGGAACTCCTTTATTGCTCGAACGCCACCCACAGTGGCCCTTCCAGGAACACCACTCCAACTGGAACTCCCCCCACCAGATCATCACCCACCAACTTGAACTCCAAAGTAGCCTAAGGTGGACAGCAGGGGTCTATATACAGTTGAATACACAGCTTAACTTAACTACCATCATCTCAGTGGCTTGATGGCCTCACCTCTCAACCACTCCCTTTGGCAAAATGCCAGGTGCCACCCCTATTTGGAGAAAGCCAAATGATTCCATAAAAGGTAGTGGGTCCATTTCAAAGATGCCTAATGATGAAGGTAAGAACATGAAATCCACACATTATGTCCATCAAAATAAACTCCAGATACTTAGAGACATTAAATGTAGAAATCATCAAAGTACAGGAATAAAACAAATGAAAGTTTGCACAATATAGGAGGATTTCTAAACCTCAATGTGGAAAGCAAGGATTCGGCTGTGGCCCTCAACAGAGTGATAATAGCTTAAAGGACTTAGGTACATTGTCCCATTGACTCCATAAACATACACAGAAATTAAAAAGTAAACAACCACCACCTTATTTTTGAAGTAACTTGAGACTTGAAGAAAATTTGCAAGCCTAGTAGAGTTCTTTTATATCCTTTATYCAGATTTCTTCTGTTGTTAACACCTTATATAACAAAGTACACTCCCAAGCAGGAAATAACACTGATTTTGTACTATTAACTATAGATTTCATTAGAGTTTCACTGGTATTACTAGTCATGTCCTTTTTCTGTGCCCAGGATTCCACACTGCATTTAGTTGAGGTTTTCTTTGCCTCTTCTAAGTTGTGATGGTTCCTTATCTTTTGTGACCTTCATATTTTGAAAAATACCTGTCAGTTGTTTTGGAGAATGGCTTCAATTTGGGTTTGGCTGATGGTTTTTTTTTTTTTTTTTTTTTTTACTGATTAGATCAGTGTTTCTGAACAGTAACCCTCTTGATGTTTTGGACTGGATTACCTGCTTGTTGTAGGATAGTGGACAGCATCCGTATCTCCTAACCACTAGATGCCAGTATCATCTACTCCATTCTTTTGGGATGATCAAACAAGTCTCCAGGCTTTGCTAAATGTCCTTTGGGAGAGTGAAATTTTCTCTGGTTGAGAATCACTGGATCAGATTGGGGTTATGAATTTTACTGCAGAAGTACCAATGTGCTTTTCTCCATRTAGCATATCAGATGTCTGTAACTTAAGTTTCTTCCTTTGTAAAGGTCTGGGACCACTACTATAAAGTTACTGTTTTTTTCCTTTGTAACTAATGAATACCTTGATATCATGAAATTTTTCTGGCATAGCTATAATAATTTTAATTGTAACTGTTACCGCTGTTGACCGATGAGGAGTCCTTGCTTCCCCAATGTTGAAGAATAACACCAGAGAAGCACGCTGAGGCAAGGTCAGAGTAGAAATTAGAAGTTTATTRAAGGACAGCAGAAAAGACTTCTCCCGGAGGAAGAAGGGGACCCAAGAGGTAGAATCCGTGGAAGTGCGGTTGTTCCCCCTTTTTATAGTTCTTTCAGTGATGGAATGTAGGTTGAAAGGCCCGAGGGGTGGGACACAGGTGGGCCAAAGAAGTAATCTGGACAGGAAGGACTTCATTAACATTCCTTTGGGATGGGCTATCTTCAAATCTGCTGGGGCTGTTCATTAACATTTCTTTGGGATGACTTGGGTCTAGGGCTTTTCTTGGGACTTCATTAACATTCCATGAGTTGTCCTGCGTTTCCTGGCATTCATTCAACATGGCCTCCATTTTAGATCTTACTCCATATTAGACCCGATTTACCTAASTACACTGACTACCTAATTTTAAATCTGGCTTCATAACTACATATCAACAATATTTTTGAAAGTTAAAATATTTAAAAATCACTTTCATCTTTCTGTGAAGGTGGTAATTTTCCTGTATAAAAATCGTTTTTCTAATTTTTCTTCCTATTCATGTAGAATGATGGCTATTTGTAAGTTTCATGTTAAGAAGATAAACTTCTATCTCACTTAGTTCTATGAGAACAGGAACCTTTTCTTCTTCTTTTTTTGCCGGTAATTTTATAAACATTTATTTTAAAAATACTACAGAGGAGAGATTTAGATTAAACACACACACACACACACACACACACACACACACACACACACAGTCATATTCAGAAACAAAAATGTATTGGACCAAGGGAGAGAAAAGGGGACCCCTTAGCTTCCAGAAGGGAGTACAGTGGAAAACCATTTTATACATCATTTATAAAAGAGCATGTCTATAAAAGAATAGAATATACATGTATAAATGCAAAATATAGTGGCACATCATGTAAGAAGAGAGACCAGTACCTCGTGGACACGGGGAGTGGGAGGGTGTGTGGCTTTGTCTCAAGGCTGCTGGCGGTGTGTTGTTGAACAGGGACCTYTTCTATCTTGTTCAGTGCTATATCCATAGCACCTGAAGTGGTATATCTTCAAATATTTGTTGAAGGAATCAAAGAAAGATAATTAGTTTTGGAAGACAGGAGTTAGGGAAGTAGGAAGCTCACCTTATTATGCTGGAATCTCTGCTTCTTTGGAAAGCACATTTTGGGAGCTGGATTTAGAAATACTGGTTTTGGTAATTTAGGTAGAAATAGAAATGCTTATATTTTTAACATCTTAATAAAAGGTTACTATTGTATACATTTCTATATTAGATTGCAAAGTGTCATTTGGTAGCAATACCAATGTACACCCAGGTTTGTGCAAGACATCTAGCAACTATAAATATTATCCATGTTAATAGTTGTCACCTGGCACCGTGGCATAAGCCTGTAATCCTAGAAGCTCAGGAGGCTGAGGCAGAAAGATTGCAAGCTTAAAGCCAGCCTCACCAATTTAGCAAGGTCCTAAGCAACTCAGTGATCCCCTGGCTCTAAGCAAAAACATAAAAAAGGGCTGAAGATGTGGCTCAGTGATTAAGCACCCCTGGGTTCAATCTCTGGTACCAAAAAAAAAAAAAAAAAAAAAAAAAAGTTGACACTGTCGTCCTCATGGGGTTAGGACACTTTTATGGTATATTTAGTTTAAAAATATTACCAGGCATGGTAGCTTATAATCCCAGCTACTCTGGAAGCCAATGCAGGAAAATTGCAGGTTCAGGGCCAACCTGGGCAACCTGTATAAAAAAAAATAATTATTAGCTATACGGTTATACATACTGATAAAATTTTAGAGTATAGAAACTTGAATGTAGGTTTCTACATTATAAAAATTTATGAGTGCAATAACTATAGATTACAGAAAAGATTGAATATAATTTTTAGATTCTTACTGATAACTTTCAAATGGCAGGAATTTATTTTCTCTATCAGTAGCTACTGATTAAGTTTCCGGAGAGTCTTCAACAAGTTAGACTTAACCTTTTAGAATATTTGTCAAAAGTATAGATATTGGCAATCTCAAAGGTTCAACATAGTAGAAACATTTTAATTTAGTGCTTTATTGGTAGCAGTGTCTTTTATTTTTCTACCTGGGGTGGAAGGAGGAAAAAAAATGTTAAATAGTAGGATATATTTTTTACTCAATATTAAGATAAAGTATATATTTTTTGTTTATAAATGAAAGGATAGTGAAAAGGAAGTAAGATGTGAATTTGAGAGGGAAAAGAAACATTAGTTTTGCAAGGTTCTTCAAAATTTGTCTCTAGAATCAGCTTGTTACGCCTTTTATAGCCTATACACTTGCACTGCCAATATGGTACCCACTGGCTACATATGGCTCTTAAAATGTGCTCCTAATTGAGATGTTTTGTAAATATATATTGCGTACTTAGTTCTGAAGATTTACTACAAAAAATGTCTCAATTTTAAAATTTCAAGTCAAACTGAGAGTATCTCCACAGTGGCAAGTTAAMAAAACGTAAAAATTAATTTCACTTGTTTGCTGTTGCTCTTTAAATACTAGCAGAAAATTTCTATTGGGCATTGCTTTCCCAACTGTAAGCTTTCATGTGCTGAGTTGTCATTATTTTTAGCTCAATTGGTGTTTCTTCATTCCCAGATTGAATTGGAGCTGGGAGAAGTTAAGGGCACTGACTTATTTCCTTTACTACTTTCTTCACTCCTTGCTTTGAGTAATGTACTCAAGGAAAGAGAGCATATCCTTAGCCATTTTAATAGGGTGTTGATTTTATTTCTTACATTAAGCAAAATTTGAGACATTAGAGACTTGCAAGAGTTGAAAATTCTTTAACATCAGAATTGAACCCTTTTTTARCTTGGATTATTTTGTTCTGAGATATATTTAAAATTTATTTGAGGATAGGAATATTATTCTATTCATATATAAATTACTTAACTCATTTCTTTGTAACTATTTCTAGCCATATATTTTCTAGGTGTATATTATTAATTTTTATATAAAAATGTCATATAATGCCTGATCTAGACATCAAGACTGATTTTGAAATGATTAAATATCATAAGTTGTATCATCCATTCTTGTGATTTGTGATTGCTTCAATGATATAATTTTTTTCCCCATGTTTCCGAAGTTCTGAGTTCTTATAAGTCCCTATTCTTTCTTTGACTTAGAATATAAAATTTGTTGTAATATATCCTCAACCCTCCAACTCTTTGCTGATGTAGTGGTTATTACAGATCTTCATTAAAGTCTTTATAACATTTTAATTATTGGTGTATAGTTATATTTCTGTAACTGGACTCCATTCTTTTGAGGAATTACTGCATTTATAATTAGCACTTATTAAATTAATTTTTATTCAATGTCTATGATTAGTAGTTCTTAAACAATGGGTTTCTTTGTAAGTCCTTTTTCCACTGGTAATGTATGACATTGGTATTCTGTAGCCTTTCTTCTAACTGATTTGTCACCTTTTGCATTATTTTCTAACAGGTATAAATCTGAACTTGAAAGAAGTCAACAAGCTGCGCAGTCTGCAGATGTCTCCCTGAATCTGTGCAATACACCACAAAAACTTTTTGCAACTCCACTAACACCAAGTCATTATTACAGTGGTAAAGATTATTTTTCTTGGTATTAACAGATTTTTTAATTTGAGATTTTAATTCTGTGAAAAATTAATTCAACTGTGAATTCAGTTTTTAATTTCGATGTTTAAAAAAATTCATTGGCATGTCTGTGGAATTATGTTGAGCCACAGGGGTAAGTGCTCACCTTTTCACTTTATCTTTGTATGGTGTGTTTTAAAACAGATTGTTTCAGAATATTCCTGTGTCTCCAAGTATGTTGATACTTGATCARTTTTTTGATCTGTTGCCCTAACCAAATGTTCCTTCTACTTGGTGCTCTATGATACTCTACCTCTTGACTATCACAGTGATTATTGATCTGTGAATTCCTTCATGAAATCAATGACTGAAATAAAATAGTATTTGTTGTCTATGTTTAGGTTCCAAGTATGAAGATCTAAAAGAAAAATATAATAAAGAAGTTGAAGAACGAAAAAGATTAGAGGCAGAGGTTAAAGCCTTACAGTCTAAAGTAAGTTAATGATGGGCTCTGTAGTGTAGAATATGCATTCATAGAAATCCTTGATTATAGGATAGAACAAGATTAGAGAAGAATCTGTTTTATGTAGAGCTGATGTTTTTTTTTTTTTTTCTTATACTGGAAACAATTCCTGGCTCATGGGTAGTGTTAATTCTTAGTTTTAAAATTAGGTGGGAGTGAGTAAAATAGAGAGGTTAATTTGACCTTAAATTCTAGGAGAACCATAGCCATATAATTATTTCCTTATTAAGATCTAGGGATAAGAAGTTTGTTTGGAGAGAGCAGGACCCAAGAGTTATTCCTGATACTGGCTGGCTTTGGCACCTGGAGGCGGCTGCTTCCTATATGGTCCTCTGATGAAATGCGATTGCTACTAGGGACATGTTATTTGTGACATGTTCATTTCGGAGAAGAATGTTATCAACTCAATTTTCTCAATTTTTTAAAAACATAAGCTGCTGAGAAGGGGTTTGCACTCCATTTTGATATGCATAAACAAACAGAAAATGGCAAAGAAGTTTATTCAATGTCAATAAAATTAAAAAATAATGCAGGTTTCTACATGTAGTTCAGGGATTGACTTTGAAAATACCTGATGCCTGTTGAATTTTACCTTCATCAGTTCTGTTCACATGATGTCATTTTCTTAAAAAAAATCTAAGTTTGGTACTTATAATACATTTCCTAGTTATGAACTATTTTTTTTTTTTTTTGGTACCAGGGATTGAACTCAGGGGCCCTTGACCACTGAGCCACATCCCTAACCCTATTTTGTATTGTATTTAAAGAAAGGGTCTCACTGAGTTGCTTAGTGCCTTGCTTTTTGCTGAGGCAAGCCACTGGGATTACAGGTGTGTGCCAACACACCTGGCTCCTAGTTAGGAACTTAATGTAATAAACATAGAAACTTACTAGGTGGCATAATTCAGCAAACAGTTTTGGGTGCCCCTTTAACTTTTGAGAATCAAAATCAACCTATATCATAGAATTTTTTTTTTTTTTTGGTGTTAGGGATTGAACTCTGGGGTGCTTAACACTGAGTCACAACTCCAGCCCTGTGTTATATTTTATTAGAGACAAGGTGTCCCTGAGTTGCCTAGGGCCTCGCTAAGTTGCTGAAGCTGGGTTTGAACTCTTGATCYTCCTGCCTTAGCCTCCTGAGTTGCTGGGATTACAGGAGTGTGCCACTGCACCTGGCTATTTCTTAGAATTTTAACAAGTATTTACCTTCTCATGCCTTTAACCCTTGTTTTGAGTTCACCAAAGGCATTGTTCCTCAAGATGAATGAAAAGTAATAATTCTCTCATTTGTCCTAGAAATGTCATGTGCTTTGTCATCCAGTTCAGTCATTGGTACCTGTTCTGCCCCTGACATTGTTTCTCCCATAGTTACTTTATGTGGAATGTGAATCTTCRTCAACACTAAACCTCTTCCTATGGCAAAAAACAAGTTCTTGGTATAAAAAGTTTAACGTAGCATSTAGAGCCAAGTCTTAATATTTGTGAGAAAGAGCAATTCATAACTGTAGATAATTCACAAATGTTTGTATTCTGTAATATAAAACATCCTAAATAGCATTTTTGGGAGAAGTGATATGGTTGAAAGGGTTCTGCAGGCTAATATTTAATTTTGATTCTGAAGTTGTAGAAAGGTGACCAACGATAGGCAAAGGAAAGCCAATTTTGGTATTTAAAATRTCAGCAAATACTCACATGTTGAATGGAGTTTATAAGCAATGCAGAAAAAAGTCCTTTTGAAATAGGTCAGGTCTTAGATGATACGGCTTGCCCCTTCAATGACAAGAAGATTGACATTTAGAATATTCTATCACTGCAAATTGGGACTTAATGGTTTCCTTGACTTGATGGTATGCAATGCAAGTGTCAACAGCTTGTAATTTTAGCTTTATATTCTACCTGAAAATATTCTACCTGAAAAGAAATAGTCTTGTGGGGCTGGGGTTGGGGCTCAGAGGTAGAGCACACGCCTAGCATGCATGAGGCACTGAATGCAATCCTCAGTACCACATTAAAAAAAAAAAAAAAAAGAAATAGTCTTGAATATTGCAATTTCCAATGGTCTCTAAAGAGTTTCTGTTTTTACAGAAAGCTAGCCAGGCTGTTCCCCAAACCCTCATGAATCATCGGGACATTGCTCGACATCAGACATCATCATCTGTGTTCTCGTGGCAAGAGGAGAAGACCCCAAATAGACTTTCCTCTAATTCTCAGAAAACTCCAAATAGGAGAGATTTCTTTGCATCTCACATTTTTGGGGAAGAAGAGGTGACTCCAAGCAGATCAACTTTTCAAACAGGAAAAAGAGATTTTAGTAGCAGTGGCTGTGATAATTCTAGCAATTCTCATCTTTTGGATCAATGTAAAGCCCAAAATCAAGGTAATTTCTATAGCTAAATTAAGTTTAAATTAAAATTTTCTGAGATAACTTCAGAGGCATTTCCAGATATTTTTATTCCTGGTTCGTGCTTATGTGTTTTAGACACATCAGTGGTCAACATCCCTGACTGATGATGTGAAATACTGTCTTTTCAATAGTAAAAAAGACATCACAGATTTGAAATGTACTTTTATTTGTATTGAAAGCTGGTGCCCTGAGCCTTTAAAAGTTGGCTGAGAGGCTTAGATTTATCTTTCCTGAAGTGGAGCAAGTAGGTTGGTAGCAGTTTGCACTCTCCACACTTCTTATCTGGCTCCTGTTGTGGCCCATGGAAAAAGCCTATGTTCTGACCAACTTTGGCCAGAGGCAGGGTGTGTATCAGCAGAGCAGCTTTTCCCTGCACTGYCAGGCTGTCCATATGGGAGCAAACCTGTAACCCTGGCTGCTGTGTCACGAAGCAGCTGATAGCCAAGTGTACCAGGTGGTGTTTGGGAATCTACTCTGGAGAATATGGTAATTTACAGTACTGTGATATATTGGAAATCATTCTCAGTGTTCACTGGTGAGAGCTGTCATGCTGCCAGTGCCATTGGAAACACTATTGTGTGCATGTAGGAAAAAAATGGAAAAAAGAATCAGTGTTAAATTTGGTAGTATGAGAGGTTCATGCCATCTTGATTTTTACTGAAGATAAAGCTACCAGAGACTGAACAAGGGTGAATTTTTACTGCTTAGCATTATTTTTGGGCACAGAACAAATATTTTTTACCAGTGTATAATACCAAGTGGTAATTTTTATTTTTTGATACCAGGAATTGAACTCAGGGGTGCTTTACCACTGAATCACATCCCTAGCCCTTTTTTATTTTTATTTTTTAATTTTGAGACAGGGTCTTGCTAAGTTGCTTGAGGCCTTGCTAAGTTGCTGAGGCTGGTTTTAAACTTGACTATCCTCCTACCTTAGCTTCCCTCATCACTGGGATCACAGGCATGTATCATCACACCCAGCCAAGTGATAATTTTAGATTTTAGGTGTTTGTTGTACAAGTTGTACTTTTTTTTTTTTTTTCCAGCTCTGTAAGATGCTGTTTGTATTTTAGAGAAGCATTTTCTCCCCATATTTCTCTGTGAATACATAAGAAAACCTATTTCTCTGCTTTCTATAGAATATTTAAATACAAATGAGTTGGGTGTGGTGGTACACATCTTTAATCCCAGCTACTGGGGAGGTTGAGGCAGGAGGATCTCAAGTTCAATGCCAGTCTAGGAAATATGGTGAGACCATGCCTCAAGTAAATAAGAAGGGCTGGGGATGTATGTAGCTCACTGGTAGTGTACCATTGGGTCTAATCACTAAMACTACAAAAAGAAAAGAAAAGGAGGAAAAAAAAAAGACAATAGATATTAACCACTGAAATTAAATACAGTTAGTTTCTGTGTGTAATAAAAATTATTTATATTTATCTCACCAAAGATTTAGAGTAAAGTAAAATACATAATAAATTCTGAACATTTTGTAA